AGTGATGTCTGCCTCTTAAGACATTTCTTTGCGTCTAATCTCAAGTGATGTCAAAAACACAAACACAGCACCAGTTATATAGCAGTCTACGGGTCACTCGTCTATGATGTGACGCCAGGGGTCGCAAAAGTTATGTACTCAAATGCACGCTCACTCCGTGGCTGTTATGCGTTTAGGGTCTCTATTATTGACTATTTTATGTCACGTTATTGTGTGTGACTCCCAACAGTGTATAGCAATTTGTAGAACTAATAGCGCCACCAAACGGCATATAAATGTATTATATGTTCACAAACTCTGTTATTGTTAGACGAATTTTGGTGGACCCCTGCAGTCGATTCTTGTGGAAACTTACAGAATATATCATATATGCCACTCAAACTCAATTAATCACCAAATTTATGGGATTATCACATATATAAAGCATCTGTTGAACAGTTTAGTACGGATTAGTAGTGGGAAGGTATCAAAAAGCCCATAGTCTTAACGTTTAATAGCGCCCAATCATACAGTTATGTAATATTCTGTAAGTTATTATACCAATAGTTTCAATACATGTGTAGAATTATTGCACACGAATTCAGTGAAACATATCGACTATTATATTATTTCTTAGATTTTCGCCACAAAAAGCACTTAATTTGATGACAAAAGAATCCAAAAGCTATTCATTCATTCATTTAAACGGTGTCTGAATGGGAAGCGAAACACTGTCTCTAAGCCTCAAGAATTTGGCGACAATTATATAAAAGCCATACAAATAATATAATTATGCGAATACATGTCTCGCTGTGTGTGTATTAATACCAGAACTTATTCACGGCATACAAAGTAAACATATAATTCATAGGAAAAGTGTCGACCTATTCACAGCACAAGTATGTTTCCAAATGAATCACAATTTTGTAGCGAAAAATTTCTTTTGAAATACGAAAAAATCGATAAAAATATTTTCCATATTATATACGATATAACGAAAAATATTATTTCGCTTTTAAACATTGTTTCCGAAACGGATAATAAAATAAATATTTATCTCAGCCTATCGTTTGTTTATTTTGTCGCAAAAAATAGCAAACATTTTTCGCACAGAATTTGCATTTAAAAAAATAACTCAAATAAGAATAAGGCATTCAATGAAATGAGTGATTGTTTTATTGTATTTTCCATTAAAGCCTAAGAATACAATTCCAGACATTGAATACAACTGTGAAGTCGATTAGGAATCTCTGCTAAAAAATAATTTATAGGATTTACATATCGTATGAATACATATCACATGAAGAATTCGATTCTTGTATTTTGCGGTCAAAAAATATTCAAAAACACATAAAATATTAATTACAATAAAAAGAAGTCTAAAAATTAAACTTAAAATTTGTTTTTCTCGCAAAAGAGTCAATAAATCAGTCAATAAATTAAATCTCTTTTGATGTCCTTTAGCTTATAAAGCGATCGCAAGTATTGGTGTAAAAGGGTTTCAGTAAAAAATGGCAGAATCGGTAGAAAGCCTTCCATGAACCCGATGTGACCGCCCCGGGAGGTCACTATCATTGCCACGTGACTGCTCTCCTCCACCTCGTCGACAGGTAGTGCTATTGAGACAACAAATGCATACAACAAAAAACAGTTGAGATATAATTAAATTCATAATCAAATCAACACATGGTTTTTGGGGGGGGGAAGCAATTAATAGACACAAAATTAACGCTATTATCAACGCATGACTGAATCCGCATTGCGTTCAGCAAAAGTGCGATACAATTATGATATGTTGGGGAACAGGAAAGCAATTAAAGCCACTTTTCAAACACACATTCACTTTCTGCTATAATTTTGACATTAAATGTAATAATAATAATGTTTTCTATTCACTGAAAAATGTTTCACAAAAAAACTCAATATAAAAATAAAACTAAATAAAAAATTCACATTTTTTTGACAACAAAAAAATTCTGTTTAAATTGAATTCAAATTTCCTTTTCATGTCATGAAATGAATGTCAAATTGAAAGCAACAAAAAGCAAAATAAAAAACATATGAAATGAAAATACAGACCACAGACGGGCGCAAACATATCGTCGGCGGCGTTCACGCAAAGGGTCGGCCGCTTAATGCAACACAACTTTCCCTTATGGCTGGACTGCGAGTAGTAGTCTTTGACACTCTTGAAGCCCCACATCTTAACCGTGAAGTTGTGGTCAAACTCTCTGAGAGTCTTGCTTTTGAGCACTTCATCCAAATTGATTTTGGGCACCGACTCGAACACGTGTCGGTTCTCCTCGATGATGCCGCACAGGGATCGCGCCAAATGGTGGTTCAGCTTCAGGTTGAGGCCCGGCTTCTCGAGACATTCGGCGCCCGCCAAGAAGTCCCAGCAAACGCTTATGAGTAGAGCGGCGTCCACGAGGGCGGCGTCGCCGTAGTCGATGAGATACCGGCCCAACACTATGCCGCCCAACGAGATGCCGGTCGCCACGATCTTGGCGTCCGGGTTCCGGTGGCGCAGGTACTCCAGCACCAGCTTCAGGTCCTCGTAGTTGGCGGCGCAGTAGAAGCGAGGGGTCAGTAGTTTCATGTTTCCGCGGCCCCGGTTGTTGAACACCACCGACCGGTAGCCGAGCTCGTGGGCCACGGGAACCTTACTCTTGATGTACTCGGTCTGCGAGTCGCCCGTCAGGCCCGGCAGGAAGAGGGCGATCGGCTTCAGCGACTCGTCGTCGTAGACGGCGTTGTGGCAGCGGTTGGACGACCCGCTGGCCACCGGTTCGGCAGTCGGCCGCTGCTGACCAGTGGTGACCACCGGATCGTACCAATCGAGTGATACGAGCCCTCCATCCGACGTGAAGATATTCTCTCTGTTTTTTGTTTCGGACAAACAATTCAAATGCAGATTACAATTACAATTGAGTCCCAAAACGAGATTCTTATCTCGAGTTCAATATTTGTTTAATGAATTGGTCTCTGAATTAGTAATTCATTGAATTACACAACACTTACAGTAAGTGTTTGTACGAAATCTTATTATATAAATCAAAGTCCAAAAAACTCGCAATCAATTCATCAAATCATTTGCACACATAGTCTATAATTATAATTAGTTATAATAAATAAATAGAAACTATTTCGAGGACTTTGTAACTGAAAAATAATTTTGCGATAAACCTATCGCACTGTAAAAGTGTTGCAAACTTTTGCATTCAACGCAAAATTATCGCTAAAACAGCGGAATATAATTAAAATGCCTTACATTGCAGTGGATATCAAAGGCTGCGAATAGAGACACAGAATATAAGGCAGTGATTCATAACAAAAAAAACAGGCATTCATTTCCCATAATTATTACGTTAATTAGAAAAATATTATAATTTTAGCACAAAATTTCGCTCATCAATAAGAGATTAACGAAAACTCACTCATAAAACGGATATACAGTATAATAGCATTTTATTTAATCATTTATTCAAAGCGATCAATAAATATGTCATAAAAATAATTATCCGATAAAACCGTATGACATATTAAAAACTAGTATATATTTTATGGAAATGTAAATTCAATTCAACGTTTGAGACATAATATGAGACATAATATTAATGTTAATATTATATTTTCCAAAAACAAAGTCATAAAAAACTATTTTCAACAAAAAAGTCATTTGCAAGACACGCACCTTCGGTAGGGGAGGTCCGGGAGGCGACCCCTGAGATAGTTAGCCAGCGCTGTCTGTACGTGCGTCTGAATGGCCCAAATCGGGGGCCAATACTTGTCCTGAATTTTGTCGACATTCGCCAACAAAAACCACCGAAACTTGCCGTCCGTACAGAAAAAGGCCGGTTTCTGAGCAAACAAATGACAGTCAAAAAACATTTCATTATTAATAGCAAAAGTGTTTGCATTCAACAACAAAAAAGTAATTTAAATATTAAATCTAAAAAATTCCTAAACTATTAAAATAAGTAAATTTATAACAAAAACAACAATTACTGATTTGTAATACTGTTTAAACAGATTTGTAAACTACATTTCCCTCAACACTGTGTGCATATATATAATAGTAATTAATATAGGATTTTAGGTGCAAAATAAATAATTCATAAAACGTTTGCCACTGTTTGCACTAAAAAAAGTGTGGAAAAATTGTCGCAAAAATTAAAAGCAATTAAAATTAATCCTAAAAAAACTCATTAAAAAATTACACAAAACTTATGGTTAATAACTATTCCCACAAAACAGTGCATAAAACTTGTCATTAAAATACATAAATGCATACAATGTATACAAACAGTCGCTTATAGTGTACACTACAGGTAAGTGTTACGTAAACTACAGGCAACTCAATGGCTAATCAATGGGTACACTATAGGCGAGTGTAGACTAACACTACTAACATATACATAGACTACAGCCACGCGTCGGTAATGAGTACATACTCTGACCACTTGTCGCAAGTAATACGTGATGAAGACGATGGCGAA